GCCAAATTTAAAGAACGAGATGTCAAAATATCGTATATGATTCCCATCAAATTATTTCATTTCATTATATTAGCGAATCAAATTTTCGTATATCGCTGTCAGAAAGGCAATTTAATTTTAACAGACTGATTTGAATTGTCAACTTCAAGGAGAGGACCGACAATAAACCATGGCTCACATATAATTTATATCACTTGATACAAACGACTTTTCAGGGTGTCTACGGGTTGGTACTGCTTATTGGGCAGATGTGAATCACTAAACTAAAACAATAAAATGCCTATTATTCCTACATATCTTATAAAACATAACGGCATTGATACATTTAATATTTTCAATAATATTCTCACCTGTATTGTTTATTTTCTAGGCTCAACGCCGTCTCGACGTCGTCTATTTATCAGGTCACATCAAAATTACGATATACGAGATTTTAATTGGAAAAAATAATCAACCAATTATTTTACGAGATTATGTCACATGTCCTGAACGGAACTTCTAATTGGACTAGAAGTACGAAAATAAGATACATAGATGCGGCTCGGAGGGAAGATTTTCGACGTTCAGAAAAGTTATATACGAGATTTTGGCGATATACGAGATTTTGAAAGCGCATCGACGATATACTGAGAGATTTGAAGGGCAGTCTACTGTCTGTAAAATGATCAATAGTATTAGATTTAAGGAGAGATATGAAGGACAGTCTACTCTCTGATACAATGATCATTAGTATCAGATATAAGGAGAGATATGAAGGATGTACCCTCCGATACAATACTTAATAAAAACTAGAATACTGAGAGATATGAAGGCCGGTCTACTCTCTGATACAATGATCATTAGTATCAGATATAAGGAGAGATATGAAGGATGTACCTTCCGATACAATAATTAATAAAAACTAGAATACTGAGAGATATGAACGCCGGTCTACTCTCTGATACAATGATCATTAGTATCAGATATAAGGAGAGATATGAAGTATGTACCCTCCGATGCAATAATTAATAAAAACTAGAATACTGAGAGATATGAAGGCCGGTCTACTCTCTGATACAATAATTATTAGTATTAGATATAAGGAGAGATATGATAAAATGATTAATATTTTAACCACTTTTGTAATAACGACCAGTTTTGTAATAGCTCACCAATTTTGTAATAAAATCAACCGCTTTTGTAATACCTACCAGTTTTGTAATAACATGCGCCCATTTTTGTAATAAAATTAGGTCACCACTTTTGTAATAAGCTCGCCAGCTTTTGTAATATTATCAAGGGTCACCACTTTTGTAGTAAAGCTTCCCCAGTTTTGTAACAGCCAAGTTTATTACAAGTGGGTAACCGATAGTAGTTTATTAAAAAAGTGGTCAAACTTCATGTCAGCATCTAAATTGGATAAGATTTGAGGTAACACTAGTAGAAATAGTGTGTCCTAGACAAAATTGGGTGGAAGGGATTATAAAACCTGATGCCCCTTGTTCCACCCAGTGATATTACTATACTATATTGAGTATATGATCACATAAAACTAAACATGTTATATGGAACATAAAACTTTATTATTTCTAAAAATAACGTACACATCTTACAAGCACCTTTTCGGTGTTTAACAGAAATTTATAGAGCATATTGGAGGTGATGTTCAAATCACCTCACCTCCAGAAAATATCTTTCACCTTGTACCATCCGAAACGACCTGGAATGATGACAAGCGTTAGCCAAGCGCGCCACCAACCGCGATGGACTGTCATAAACTGTTTGACAGACATAGAAAGGCCAGAATTAATGCCACTAGCTTTCAACAATTTCTGAACAGAAATACTCACGGTAACTTTGCCAAGTGCATCGACCAAATTGTCTCTTATATACAATGGCTGACATAAACTCCACATTTTTTTCATAGTATTACACGATTTGCCTATATTCGTTTGTTTATTTGCAAAGTATGCAAAAGTCTTCGAAACTAAGGAGATAGACTGGACCAAATGAATGTCCTTATGTATTGCGGAATTGATTATCATTTCAAATATCTCCGCTGGAAAGACGGGTGAATCCAAAGAAGGAACTATGTTATTGTCATGAATGTTATCGTCATGATCAGCAACATCTCCAATCCCAGCCATCCTCCTATATCCGTCTACTTCAGTGTTTCCAAATGTCGCACCATCTCCACCTATCCCACTATCACCACCCTTCCCTCTATCACCACCCTTCTCACTATCACCACCCTTCCCTCTATCACCACCCTTCCCTCTATCACCACCCTTCTCACAATTACCACCCTTCCCTCTATCACCACCCTTCTCACTATCACCACTCTTCTCACTATCACCACCCTTCTCACTATCACCACCCTTCTTACTATTACCACCCTACTCACTATCACCAACCTTCCCTCTATCACCATGCACCCTTCTCACTATCACCACCCCTTCCCTCTATCACCAACCATCTCACTATCACCACCCTTCCCTTTATCACTAACCTTCTCACTATCACCAACCTTCCCACTATCTCCGCTCACCCCACTAACTCCACAAACACCTTCAGTGATTAGATTATCAACCACATCATCAAATGTGCACGTATCATTCAAATCAAACTGGCCAGTTAAAAAATCGCTTGGAATGCCAGAAAGAGCTACGTAAAGTTCACCTTGCACCTCATGAAAATAGCCACGAACTATCGTTAACAGTTCACTGACGGACTTATGACTCTGGACCATGTTCTGAAACAACTACACAATTAATATTGAATAACTGGGATATTATCTGTAGTGTAATGTAGTCGCCATAAGTACCATCCTTTTCCATTCTTGAAATATACTGATAAAGCGGCTCTCCAAGAAAGGACTGCATAGGGGTACCGTTTAATGTAGGGTTCTTCTGCATGGTCGTGGTTATTTCCGCTTCGTAAAATTCCTACAAATGGCACTAAACTGACAATTCCCATCTCCTTTCGGGTCGAAAGTGACAGAAAATCCCATTGTGTTGAAATTACCGAAGCTATCGGCCTTTGTCATGGGTATCATGTATTTTGAATTTGCTGATGTGGCCTTCTAATAACGCTGTATCTAAATGACATGTGCCTATCTGACCGTGTGCCTAAAAGAAGTGTGCCTAAAGTACTGTGCCTAAATGACTGCATACCCGTTGGATGCTGCTCATTCCTAATTTCAAGGCTGACATGAAGCCTGACCACTTTTGTAATAAACTACTATCGGTTACCCACTTGTAATAAACTTGGCTGTAACAAAAGTGGGAGCTTTACTACAAAAGTGGTGACCCTTGATAGTATTACAAAAGCTGGCGAGCTTATTACAAAAGTGGTGACCTAATTTTATTACAAAAATGGGCGCATGTTATTACAAAACTGGTAAATATTACAATAGCGGTTGATTTTATTACAAAAGTGGTGAGCTATTACAAATCTGGTAAGTATTACAAAAGCAGTTGATTTTATTACAAAAGTGGTGAGCTATTACAAAACTGGTAAGTATTACAAAAGCGGTTGATTTTATTACAAAAGTGGTGAGCTATTACAAAACTGGTAAGTATTACAAAAGCGGTTGATTTTATTACAAAAGTGGTGAGCTATTACAAATCTGGTAAGTATTACAAAAGCGGTTGATTTTATTACAAAAGTGGTGAGCTATTACAAAACTGGTAAGTATTACAAAAGCGGTTGATTTTATTACAAAAGTGGTGAGCTATTACAAAACTGGTAAGTATTACAAAAGCGGTTGATTTTATTACAAAAGTGGTGAGCTATTACAAAAATAATTAAATTGTAATTGGAATTGTAATTAAACAAAATATCACAGAATAAATGAATAATCATCTGTTATTAGCTGAGCAAATTAATACATAAATAAATAAACCATATAAAAATATATAATAATATCTACGCAACCAACTTACAAAAGTATCAGTAGCACATAATAAACATAAAATTAACATTGTCCTTTTTGAAAAAAAAATCAAATGGACAGAATTCTCTAACTGTTTGATCCTGAGGGTCGTTTGGCAGTATAACATTCCTCAACTGTAGTTAAAAAACATTATAAAATTTCACTCTTAACAAAAAATCTTTAGTTTTAATTGTTTACTTTTCTGAATTACAATTGGAAAGTCTGTATTTATTGCAGTTTTATATAGAAAGTTAATTGCTTTAATTTAAATAAGAATGGTGTAAAATAATATTGATGAGACACAAAGAAGTAACTCATTATTTTCTCTAAAGGACTCCAGATTTCAATGGAAGTTTTTGAAGGATTCAGTTTAGATTGCTTTATCTCAGGTGAAAAATAAAATATTGCAGCATTTCATATATCATATCTGTTGTAGAAAAGCTTCACAACTGTGACATTTTAGGCCTTGCATTGATCTGAATACTTTATAACAGATAATGTGACAAGTAGGAAATTGGAAACAAAGTAAAATTGTATAACTCATTTAGCCATTACATAAATGTATTATATTCAGAACAATAATCCAACATCTGGCTTGTCTATAATAGAAATAGTACATAGAAATTTTAGCATTCAAAATAGGTGACTCAAATATCTATTCACATAAATATCATGATTATGAGAAATGAATTTATTGCAACCCAGACAATTTTAATGAGGGTTATTAAAATGCAGAAATTGAAGGCATTAGATGGAATTAGTGGAAAAGTATACTAGAAATCAAATGTAATGAATAAATTAGGATAACATGTAAATAACATAAGTTATGTAAGCTCAACTATATGGTATATTTCAAACTGTAATGATCAGAAATGCTGTTAATACTGAGATAACAGAAAACTACACTTTGACATCAAATATCAACATTTCTTTCAATAACATTGAAAGTCAATAGAATGTCAGAAATTAGTTCAGGATGATATTTATTCATATAGTTTGTTATTTCTTAGCACTCAATACATAAAGAAAAGACGTCCATGTAAAAATGCAAACAAGGAATGAATTTTTGACTAATGATGGTCATATTTTCTGGAATCTGAAACCAGAAAATACAATGAAAAACAGTGTGTCAAAGGAAGTAAGAACACAATTTATTGATATTTAAAGGGCTATACCAACATTCAAAAACTTGCTTCAACATTAAAATAATTGCTCAACACTTCAGAAAAATCCAACATCCAGTTCCTCGATAATGATAAAAATAGCCGTTGAAGACACTGATAATCTAAGCTTCAGACATAATATAAATACGTTCAACAACAAAATATACTTTTTACTTGTAAGATAGCCTATCGTTCTTTAATAATTTCATTATAGAGCATAATTAATGGGTCAATTGAGAATATGAAATAAAGTCAATTGGAAGTCTACATTCTAATTTTCTAAAGACAAGAACTAATGAGGTATTTTAATTGAACAGGTATTGATTAAAAATTACTATAATAATGGAAATTAGTAATTATATCCAATTAGACAAGAATCAAACAGAATACATCTCTACATAATCAGACTAATAAAATACAAAATACTTCAGTATCTATTGCTATTATATCTTGATTCATAAAGGTTACATGAGTTATTCCACACTTCTGCTTCATCTGACAAAATAAACGATTGATAGAATCAACAGTCTAATCTAATCTGATCATTACTGAATACTAAAAATCCAAAATAATTGATAATGAATTGAGTAAACATAGGCTTGTGGCAAGTCTCACAAGCGAATACGCCCACCAGCAGCTTGATAAAGAGCTAAATGTGAACTGTAAAACAAACTCTATATCGTAGCCTGTAGAGTGAGCACGAGCCAAAAAGTGAAAAAATCAGAGTTTTATGCGATTTATCACAAGAAAATTATCGGATCCTCACCAAATTCAAAAGCGCACATCTTCATAATCATATTGTCACACACACAAAAGATCAAAAGAATCCATAAAGAATTGTAGTCTGTAGAGTGAACACTAGTCAAAAAAGTGAGAGAAAAAAAACGAACATGATAGAGTTTTATGCGATATCTCTCAAGAAAATCATCGGATTCTCACCAAATTCAATAGTGAACATCTTCATAATGATATTGACACAAATACAAACAATCAAAAGAATGTATGGAGAATTGTAGTCTGTAGAGTGGGCACGAGCAAAATATGTGAAAAAAATGAACGCGATATCAGAGTTTTATGCAATATCTCTCAAGAAAATCATTGGATCATCACCAAATTGAATAGTGCACATCTTCATAATGATATTGACACACATACAAAAGATCAAAAGAATCAATAGAGAATTGTAGCCTGTAGAGTGAGCACGAAGTAAATGTGAACGGACGGACGGACCGACAGACCGACGGGAGCAACTACAATATACGCCCATACTTACGTGTGGGCGTATAAAAATATGTACACCTGCTTGAGCCAAATTAACCAATATTTCCCCTCATTAATAGAATTGAACAAAACTTATATACAATACAATAAAATTACACAAATTATATATATATATGAATACTCTGTAAATGATATGTTATCAAGACAGCTTGCCAGGAGAGGTAAAATACGCCTACTACCAGTTGTCAGAAATGATAACAAAGTCTGTAGTGGTTTAATATGTGAAACCAATCATCCGATTGTTACTAATTTCAAGCTTTACTCAGGTCTCATACCAACGTAGTCTCTATCAGGCCTACAAGCCAAATTAAATGCACTGAATGAATTCAAGGGCCATAACTCCAAAACCAATCATCCAATTATTACCATTTTTGAACTTGAGATCTCATACCAAGTTTCATTGAGATAAGATAAAAAAATGCACTCTGTATCATGACAAGCAAAATTTGAAGCGTTTTTACTAAGTCAAGGGCAATAACTCTAAAACCTCTAAAATCCGATTATTACCAATTTCGAACTTGACTGAGATCTCATCAATATATACATGCATACCAAGTTTCATCAAGATCAGATAAAAATTGCAGCCTTTATCGTGCATACAAGACAAATTTAACGAGTTTTTACTAAGACAAGGGCAATAACTCTGCAACCGTTCATCCGATTATTACTACTCGAACTTGACCGAGATCTCATCAATACATACATGCATACCAAGTTTCATGAAGATAGGATAAAAACTGTAGCCTCTATCGCACTTACAAGCCAAATTTTACACATTTTTACTAAGTCCAGGGCAATAACTCTGAAACCAGTCATTCGATAATTACCAATTTCAAACTTGACTGAGATCTCATCAATATATACATGCATACCAAGTTTTATTCAGATTGGATAAAAAGTGTAGCCTCTATCCTACAAGAAATGTGAACAGACAGACTGACGGACAGGAGCGACGGCAATATACGTCCACATTTCCATGTGGGCGTATAAAAATGAACAAAAAATATAAAAAAACTTAGCATAATGCATTCTTGGAATGTTAGCACCAATATCTTCAAGATAGCTTGCCAGGCAAGGTAACATACACCCACTACCAGCTGTTGGGCATGATAACAAAATCTTTAGTGGCTTAATAATGAATTTTCAAATAATCTTAAAATCATCTATTAGTCAGGGCAAAAACCTGAAACAGTTATCAAATTCAAACATGAACAATGTCTAATCGCTGTACACATGGTCAATAACTCTGAAACTGTTCATCATCCAAATATTACCAATTTCTAACTTGATCAAGATCTCAATATATATATGAATATCTAGTTTCATCAAGATCGGATAAAAACTGTAGTCTCTATCATGCCTACAAGCCAAATTTGACGAGTTTTTACTAAGTCACGGGCAATAACTCATCCGATTATCACCAATTTTGAACTTGACTGAGATCTCATCAGTACATACTTGCAAACCAAGTTTCATCAAGATCGGATAAAAATTGCAGCCTTTATTGTGCATACAAGCCAAATTTAACGCGTTTTTACTAAGTCAGGGGCAATAACTCTGAAAGCGTTCTTCTGATAAGTATAATCAGACCAAGATTTCATCAATATATACATGCATACTAAGTTTCACCAATAAAAACTGTAGCCTCTATCGCGCAAGAAATGTGAACGGACCGACCGACCGATGGAAATATACATCCACATTTCCATGTGGGCGTAGAAAAAAAAGCATATTAACATATGAACTTTTCACACTACATATAGAAAATGTATTGCCCTTTAATATGAAAAGTTCATTTTTGAAAATTTACCCAATTATCTTTAAACTCTAGTTAAGAGGTGACAAAATGTGCAACAATGTTATCTCCACTAAAAAAATTGAGAGTTTCTCTGTTCCAGTAATATTTAACAGTTATTTCTATGAGCACCAGTACCAGTTTATTGTAAGTTTATATTTACTTGTCTGATTTCGAAGTTCTGGATAATGATTTGATAAGTAGAGTCTGTTTTAGTTGATCTAGTTGATCTAATGTGAGATTCTGTATCGATGTATCAGAGTTTAATATAGATGTATCGGATGATGATAATGATTGTAATGATTGTAAAGATGATGATGACTCACGACTTTTACATTTCTTCTTTTTATCACCACTCTGTTCACCTGAACTATGAAAAAAAAGAGATACGAGATATTGACATGGAATATTTTCATAGAGGTGAACTAACCATGACATATATAGCACATGGAAATTTATAGAGGAGAGAGATACATGATATTGATATTGTAACTGAAGAGAGAGATATCGATATGGTAACCAAAGAGAGAGATACAATATATTGACATGGTACTAAAGGAGAGAGATACATGATATCGATATGGAAACCAAAGAGAGAGATACAATATATTGACATGGTACTAAAAGAGATAGATACATGATATCGATATGGAAACCAAAGAGAGAGATACAATATATTGACATGGTTCTAAAGGAGATAGATACATGATATCGATATAGTAACCAAAGAGAGAGATACAATATATTGACATGGTACTAAAGGAGAGAGATATATGATATTGACATAGTAACCAAAGAGAGAGATACAATATATTGACATGGTACTAAAGGAGATAGATACATGATATCGATATGGAAACCAAAGAGAGAGATACAATATATTGACATGGTACTAAAAGAGATAGATACATGATATCGATATGGAAACCAAAGAGAGAGAGATACAATATATTGACATGGTACTAAAGGAGAGAGATATATGATATTGATATGGAAACCAAAGAGAGAGATACAATATATTGACATGGTACTAAAGGAGAGAGATATATGATATTGATATAGTAACCAAAGAGAGAGATACAATATATTGACATGGTACTAAAGGAGAGAGATATATGATATCGATATGGTAACCAAAGAGAGAGATACAATATATTGACATGGTACTAAAGGAGATAGATACATGATATTGACATAGTAACCAAAGAGAGAGATACAATATATTGACATGGTAATAAAGGAGATAAATACAAGATATTGACATGGTAAAAGAGGAAAGAGATACAAGATATAAAAACAAGAAATCGACATGGAAACTTATCACAAAGGCGAGAGATACGAGATATTGACTTGGAAATTGTCAAAGAAGAGCCAATAAATGCATGGTAATAAATGAATTTTTAATTGCAATTCATTAAAAAGTAAGCCTTCTGCAATTATTCATTTCATAATTTTAATCATTGCATTTAGATTAATTGATTTATTATTTGTTTTATAAATCAATCTCTTTTTTTTTGATTCTTTAATCCAGAGAATTAGATAATATTCTCTTATAAAAAAAATATAATTATCATTTAAGTAATGATTATAGTATTTACTATAACTATAAAATAAAAATTAAATAATGCCAGACAAGGTAACATTTACCTCAGTAACACATTTCATTTATTTAATACTAGATACCCCATTCAGTAGGCCAGAAGGTCCATTAATGTAGGAGCATCATGTGGCAATGAACTCAAAATATTGTTTCTCACCTGAACATATGAGAAATTCTAGCTCGTAACATATCTGTGGAATGTTTATGGTTATTGGGTATTCTGGCTGGAGAATATACGGGGGTAGCTGGTAATAGGCGGACATGAGGAGCTTCAGGCACTGAATTAAAAAAACATAGATAATATGGATAGACTTGGAATCAGTAACTCCTATAAAATCAATAGAAACAATAACAAATGAAGTGACAAATATATGTTCTTTTTGTACAAAACAGTGCAAGTGCAAATTCCTTGATCAAAACAAACTATGTTTGCTATAATGAATTTTTGAATGACTGAAAATGGTTCACATGGTGACATAGTCCTGATTATAGATTACAGCCACATGCACACAGATTTTCAATAAATTTTCTTAACCCACAGGCAAAGTAGTGACTTTTATACTCCAGTTTTCATTCTGTATACTATTTTGTATATTAATTTCTTACTCCTGTTTTTTTTAGCTGCGCTGAGATCAGAATGAGATTTGTTTTTATCTATAAAATATTAAAGCAATTTCAAAATATGTACCTATTTCAGGAGAAATGTATCGAGGTGTCTCCGCTTTAAAAGGAGAAATTTTCTCATCTTTAAAGGGAGATAAACATAAAAATTCCTGTTGTAACATAACATATTTTTCCTCTTCCAATCTCTGTCTCTAAAAAACAAGATTTCATCATATGATGATTACTTGGAAATGATAAACAATTATTACTACTAGATATTTGACTTAAAATATACATTTCATGAGCTTTTGAAGGAATATAATTTTTCTATAAAATGTGTCTAGCCTGCCATAAAACCACATGCATTTGTTGACAAAGCTGATTATCACTTTTTCAATTTTATTATTAACAATATCATTTTCAAAGTTATAATACAAAACAATATAATGTCCAACAAACCTGACGATCTAATTCAGCAGAAGCTAGAGAATACTGAATTCTTTTCTCTTCTATCTCACTTTTTTCTCTATCAATTAATTTCTGTTGTCTTTCTATATTTTCTTGCTCCCTGGATTTTACCTGCACGACATTATAACTAATCATATGTAACTTATAAACATAGGCTTGTGGCAAGTCTCGCAAGCGAATACGCCCACCAGCAGCTTGATAAAGAGCTAAATGTGAACTGTAAAACAAACTCGGTTTCATAGCCTGTAGGGTGAGCACGAGCCAAAAATTTATATGCGATATCTCTCAAGAAAATCATCGGATTCTCACCACATTCAATAGTGCACATCTTCATAATGATATTGACACACATACAAAAGATTAAAAGATTCCATAGAGAATTGTAGCATGTAGAGTGAGCAAGAGTCAAAAAAGTGAGAAAAAATACTTACGTGTGGGCGTATAAACATTGTGGTGAGGTGCACACAATGACCCCAAGCATGTATCCGCATGCTTGCTTAAGTAATACTTAACATGATTTAGACTAACCTGTAAATGTAACAATTCTTCTTGTTTCTGTATGATATCTCTATAAGCTGAGACCTGATGTTGTAAATGAGACATATATACAAATTGATCAGGAGGCTGTGGGTGGGGAGTGACTGGTGACATAGTAGATGATACTGGTGGATATCCATTAGTAGTTACTACTGTGGTATTAACGTCTGTTAACATTAACTGTTTAGATGCTGCTGGTTTACAATTAGTACCATCTATAAAACACACAAATGAATTTCTAGTGTTATCATTCCCCTTTAGCTATCCTCATAGGTTATAAGAGATGAATAATACCTCATTCGATACCTTGTGTTTACAGGGTCAATGTTGTGAATTTCAGTTCGATATTGGGTTTTTACACACCGATTTTCACAACTTCGCCGACCTTCACCTTGACTTCATGTTAAAATAGCAAACATTATAAAGGCCGCCACACACCAACCGATTTTTAAAGTTACCTCGCACATTTCATGACAAGGCTCATCAGGAGGACTTTCGATCAACCATACCAGATATCTCCAAATCACTCTCGGTTGTGTCCAGTCTGGCGATGTTTCGAAAAAAAAAACGGTAAAGGTGCTGGCACACAAGTAGTCTTGGTCGGAGATTTTTGTTGCAGATTAGAGTCTTGAGTGCCTGTGCCTCAACGACAAGATTATCTCTTCTCCAACAGGATTTGTATTATCAAACAAGTTTTATCGTCTGCAAGACAGTCATCATCCAATCAGATTCATTTTTCTTTCAAGTGCACGCTCTGTACGTGATTATCAACATGGTGGAAAAAGACCGACTGGAGATTTTTGTCGCTGACAAGAATCTTGTCAGGAATTTCGTCGACTGGCAAGGGCACACTACCTTAATGTGAACCAGCCTTTAGTTATAAAGTTGTGAATATTGCCTGTACAGTCTTCACATAAGCGCACAAGTTTCAGATTTGCAAAAAAGTCGTAAACACAGGCAGATATACAAAGGCAGGTATAATACACAATCCATCACAATCTTGGAAAAAATCTGTCACTGCAAATGTGGCCAGACAAACAAATTAGCATAATACAGACACCATAGTATTGATAGTTATTTGTATTTAAAAATATTCTACTAAAAGGTGCTTGAGACCACTAGTATAAAACGGGAAGAGAGCAAGTGTCATGTTACTAGGAAGTATAAAATGATTGTGCTTGTCAGCTGTAAATTGATATTGAAAGCAGCATAGGCAAAGATGATAAAATTCTCTAGCCACAAGTTTTATCCTCTTAAAATATGATGTTTGCCTATCTCTTTCATTTTGTATATCTGGTCAGACATACTTACTCAAATTGTCTTTCTGTCGACACAATGTCTTCTTTATTTTTTCACAAGTATCTTGAAAATTCTTCTCAATGTTTTTCTGTATAGTTTCTAATGGAAGTTGATAATATCCTAGGAAGAAAAGGTTCTTTCTCAGGATTATGATATACTTTAGAAAATCTAAACTGAACAATACTAATCTAAATCTACTTTACATAAAAAGTATACTTTATCAGCCATGTGGACTCTTCAAACAGTATTGCAAGTTGACCTAAGTGGTATTACATGATCTAGACAGAGATGGTATTAAATCTAATGTTTTTAATCTTTTCAACACTTACCATTATCTGTAACATCATCAATATTTAACTGATTTTTTATATCTACATCATCATCATCATCTGTACCAATAGATTGATTACTAGTTGATCTCTATAAAAAAAAAATACATCAGAATTAATTCGTTAACTTTACAGAACTCAAGCTCTGAACTCTTAATATCTAAAAGTTAATGAAAATAAAAATTAACTATGAACCTGTTAAAATTTAAGAATACCTACATGTATTTTAAATGGTGAAATATCTGCTACAGACAAATCAGGTCTATTTACTATTGCTGCCAAGTTTTTCTGCATAGAATATAAACAGTCACGTAGCTGCGAATTTTCACACAATAATTCTTGATGTCTTTCTTCATAGGTGGTTAACATACCCTGATACATTTCTTCTTCCTGTCTATCAATGACATTTTCATAGAGTCAAAATATAATATCATAGTGTCAAAAAAACAATTTCATAGAGTGAGTCAAAATGTAATATCATGGAGTCAAAAAAACAATTTCATAGAGTGAGTCAAAATATAATATCATAGTGTCAAAAAAGAATTTCATAGAGTGAGTCAAAATATAATATCATAGTGTCAAAAAAAACAATTTCATAGAGTGAGTCAAAATGTAATATCATAGTGTCAATAAAACAATTTCATAGAGTGAGTCAAAATGTAATATCATAGTGTCAATAAAACAATTTCATAGAGTGAGTCAAAATGTAATATTATAGTGTCAAAAAAACAATTTCATAGAGTGAGTCAAAATATAATCTTTATTTATTTGTAGTCTCTCAAATTGAGCTGTACCACAAACCTTTTACCTGTAACAGAAACTGATGTCAAAATGATCCAAAGGTTCTAGACATTATTGTAGCTTAACTAAGACTAAACCCAGACAGTTTCATTTATTAATAGTTAATGAAAATATCTGAACTATTAATTCAAGGTTTGCTTCCAAGAATGATGCCACATACTCTCTCCCATTCAACATAAATTTACAGGGTTTTTTTACATTGTTTATTGCATCTGTTTTCATCTTCTCATGATTTAAAAATTTTCTCAATAGACTCATCTATAACAACAAACTCTTCTCAGCAAATTATGATTTTCATATTTCTAAAACTAGCAAATATATTTGTCAAAAAGATTGTTTACTTACTTTCCTCCTACTCTAGTATTCCAGGTACCTCTCTTTCCATCTGGTCTCTGTATAACATTGATTAGTTCTAAACCTGTAGTCCTTTCACAATTCTTATCATTTAATAACTGATGTAGCCTATCTTTTAATTTAGCTAGCTCTTGTTCTTTTTTCTTTAGTTCATGTTTATACTTCATATCCCTACTTTTCAGAACTAGATTTAATCTTTTGACCTGCAATGATAAATGAAAAGTCTTACTCTTTATCTTCTATAAAAAAAAATAGTTACTGTGTCTGTGTAAACCAACATGGGCTAATAAATAAAATAGATCTATTGCAATGGCTCAGAAATGTTTTAAATTATTTTAATATATTTCTTATTAAAGATAGTTTCCCTTATTCTTATTTTTATATATATATATTCGATTATTGGACGGCCGATACTTATATCAATCGCAAGTAGAGGTATTTTAATGAATGGGTAAAATACCAGTTTGTCTCAAAAGCCCGTAATTAGCCCGTAATTAGCTAATTACGATGAGGATTTCCATAGCATGACCCTGATAATAAAATTGTCCAGTCTTTTTTCGAATAACCAGTGTATGCTGTCAGGGACATCCGTGATTGGTTAAAAATCGTTTAAATATGCACGCATGTGCACTCCCCACATTCTTTTCTTTTCTCACAACAAAAATATGGCTGCTCGAAGAATGAACAGTTTACAACTTAAAAAGGCTTCAGATTCAGAAGATAGCAAGGTAATATACGCCCACTGGCAGCTTTGATTTTGAATAAAAATATTTATCAGTACAGTAACAATAACCAGTATGAAATATTCAACCTTCAGTCATACACTTCTTTTGAACTCTTTAGGGCGATACTGAATAATATTGAGTATGAGTTATTGCCCTAGTTCTTGAAAACGTGTTCAATTTTTAGCTCGTGAAAACTCTAGAAGGCAAATATTTAATCTTCAGCACAGAAAGAGCTAAAATCGAACGAGTTTTCAAGAACAAGGGCAATAACTCATACTTAATGTTTTTCAATTCTTCTGATTTTTAATAGGGTTCATCCTTGAGTGATTACAAACACTCACACCAACACTCGTCAAAATCTGTCAAGAATTGTGCCTTCTAGAGTGTCTATGAGCTAAAAATTGAACGTGTTTTCAAGAACAAGGGCAATAACTCATACTAAATATTTTTCGATTTTTCTGATTTTCAATAGGGTTTATCCTTGGTTGATAACAAACACTCATGCCAAGTTTTGTCAAAATCCATCAAGAATTGTGTCTTCTTGAGTGATTACAAGCTAAAAATTGAACGCGTTTTCAAGAACAAGGGCAATAACTTATGCTAAATATTTTTCGATTCTTCTGATTTTCAATAGGGTTCATCCTTGGGTGATAACAAAATACTCATATCAAGTTTTGTCAAAATTCGTCAAGAATTGTGTCTTGTAGAATGTTTACGAGCAATTGTGGACGGACGGACCGACGGACATGGGTGACGGCAATATACGCCCCCCATTTCATGTGGGCGTATAAAAATAAAGGGAACAAAGAAGAAATGGGATAAAGAAAATCCAAGAATGGAAGAGAATCAGTTAAAATCTCATAGTGAAACAGCCACTCGCTTTCTCAACAGTCGGAAAGAATGACGTCATTTGGTCACATGAACAAACATGGAGTTTAAATTTAGCTTCTCAAAGCAGATTTGAGTAAATGACTTCCTCAAGCCTTTCTACGTCCACATATGGTATTTTAACATATGAATATTTTCATAATTCATTAGAAACACTGATTAATCAATTAGTAAGCATGATTTGACCAAGAAAAATGAGCTAAGGCATCTTTAAACAGTTGATGTCAAATCCAAAATATGATGTACCATGATGAAATGTGGGAACATGGGCTCGGTTGGGGAGTGAAGAAAGTTCTGCTATAATCATATATCATATATCATTACATGGAGGATTACCTCTTCTTTTTCTGTCTTTAATTTAGCTGATTGAAGTTTACATTTATTGGTAATCTGTCGTTTCTTTTCGCTTTCCTCTGATGCCTCTTTATCTAACTGTTCTAACTGTCGTTTTAACCTAGTCACTGAACCTTTCTGATGTTCTAAATCACCTGATAATCTGTGATGTCTAGATAAAATAAACAAATTGAACTCTGAAATTTACCATTTCCACCCTATAGTGCTAATAAAAATACAAGCAATGTCAAATGATATGCAATAAAGGAAATATAGATACCAACAAACATAAGCTAATTTAGAAGATAATTAATGTAAAGACCTTGCACTCAAACAACATGCATATCATATTAATAATGAACAACCATCATAAGATTACCAGTTGGTAGACTACCATCTGGACATTTGTTTGTGTCAGCTATAACAGTATATATTGTAGTACTATTTAAGTAAGCTAGATCATTATCTTGCTAGATGGCATTCCAGAGTGCCCTGAAAAATACTGATAGCTTATTACCTACCTATTTTCAAGTTCATCTCGTCCACATCTTTCCTTTTGGTATCTTGAAAGTATCTCACGCAATGCATTGATAAGTGGAACTATATTAATATCACCTCCACTATTTATTGGAAGTGGTGGAAAACCTTGAACTTGTAACTCCTACAACAGCAAATAAGAATGAAGTTCACATAATCACTGGGAAAGTTTTCGGAAAATGGTTGAAATTTAGAAGGCCAATTTATCAATTAATCATGAATGCAACTTTTTCAACATGAAAGCTGATAAGAAGGATTTTCTTTTAATTACCTGTGATAATATAGCCAAACACACATTAACATTGTCTCCAGTACAAAATGTGTTAGATGATGTTACACTTTGTAATAAACTCCAATCAGCCATTTGGAAATCTGAAGAAATACAAAATCAACCATAAAAAACAAAATTAAAAAATTGCATCTGAGACAAATAGAGTGCAATAGAAAAAATTATGATTCCTAGAAATTTTCATCAAAAAAGGCATAAATTTAACAGAACATTTTCCATCAAAACAAATTTCAAAGTGCAAATGTGTGTTCATACTTTCATTGTTAACAATGCAAAGTCATTCTTATACCAACAGTGCAGTCAAGTAACCAAGTTTCGTGCAATCTCCAGTAATGATAAATATTTTACAAGTGCGAACTTGTCTGACCTTCGCATTTGAATGTTTTGATAAACATGGGTTATCTCTAAAACTTCAACCTGCAAAATTTATCATCTATTTCTAACATATTTTAATGTGGATTTCGGTTATAACCAAATATCACAATTTTTTATCGGCCAAATTGACATTTAATCAGAATTCCAAGTGTCGTCTGCTAGAATATATTCCAGAGAACAAACTCACAGGACAAACTAGCGGATTCCATGTCAGCAGAAAAATTCTATAGAACACAATATGGGCCCTATTGTATGTTGTTTCAATGAATTTTAGCAATAGTTTGCTCTTAAAGTTTACCTATCTTTTTTTGTCAGACACTATTTTTTTTAAATCAATGTTCTTAGAAGGAATTGTAATTACTTATAATGAATTGATATTAAAGATAGTAATAATAATAATACAAGTCTTTTTATTAAATAAGTGGCACAAATCATCAAAATATAAATATATACAGAAAAATTTAAAACATTAAAGCTTTCGAGCCAGAAAAGGCTTATGAGAAACATAACAATCAAAACAAATTTTAATCGTCCATTACTGGTGCACAAGTTAATATTCAGTTAAAACTGAACATATAGTCAGGGCTGTTATGTAGCCCCACGCCGAATTCATATTGATTTTAAATGTTTAGTATCATAGGATAGGTATTTTAATGAATTATCAAAATAAAATGTTTCCAACGTGATATTATGAAATGAACAAATCTGTTATGACGTCACCCTCATTTTCCACAAATTTTGTCTATTTATCAACGTAAAGAGACAAAAACACAGAGATTTAATAATTACTGCTTTGGGTTTTTTAATTTGTAGACTCCAACTAGATTTATGCTAATACTTTTGAGTTTGCATAAGTATTCATGATGTCATTCTGCCGTCACAGTCATTATAACAGTATCTGCTTCTTCGTGGTTATATTCTGTAAATCGTATCGTTCCTTATGTTACTTCCATTGAATGAAATGGTGAATAATCTCTTCTCAGCCTGGAGCATTCTACTGGCTTCATAAGCAAGAAATGTTACTATTTGCTTCTTTGTTTCAATGTGAGACAAGTCTTTTAGTAGTTAGTCTAGAAATATCGAATGTACCTGATATTTTATATATCACTGCAGCAGATCCATTGTTACGCCGATCTCGGGTGGCAGACTTTAAACTATTGCTTTTATATGAGTCAAAAACTAAGCGAACCTGTGAAAACCCATCGTTGTTCATGAGACTTCTTGGAATAACTGCAAGTTCGTATCTTTCTATTGTCGATTTCATGTCAATATCTCTTGAAGACTTACCCACTATTGCACATCTTGGAAATAATCCACGATGTTCCTTCAACTCAATAATGTTGTCCTTAAGTTTGTGAGTGCCAATTTTTCCGTGTTTCCCAAAAGTTGGAATATTTACTTTCTGCAATGAATCCCAAATTGATTGTGAAGCATCTTCACCTAAACGATTCTTGATAAAATCTGAATAAAGACTTGGTCCTTTATCTTCTACCGCTACTAGTTCTGAACTAGCTTTGTCAGATAGAACAGTTTTTGTCATTATGTTGTAAGTATTGGTAGAACATGGTGGAAATGAAAAAATATCTGTGTTTTCGAACTTTCGTAATATATCAGTTTGACGTCTCTTAAAAGATGCATTATTCTGATGGCATGCTGAAGAGTGACACGATTGCAATGACAAGTTGTTTAAATATCCCTTTGAAATATTGGCAAGGATTGGAGCTACCAGAAAGTATCGTGTTCGCTCATTTTCGTTGTTGGAAATTCCAATCAAACCACCTTCTACCTTCATAATTTTATTCTCCTGTTCACCGGCATGATCCATTCCAATCGATGTGAACGGAATCAAGTTCTGTTTCACTGAAAATTCTCCATTCATGAAAGCGTTCCATATTCCAGGGTCAGATTGTTCCAAACTTTTCATATCAGCGATATAGACAGGTAACATTCTTCTATTTTATACGGTCCATACTGCATATATCTTGACACATTAGTGTTGATGCCTCTAAGTGAAGCTTCCAATACCGTTGGCGAATTGCTTGAATAAACAGCAGAAGGAGTTCAATCATTCGCATATACACTCTTAGAAACTGGAACATTTGGTTGCTTTTCATACAGTTGTCAAAGGAGTCCATAGTTTGAATTAAATGGCAGGACTGAATTTCTTGTTGCAACTTGTTGTGGCCACTCTCCTTACTTTGTTGACGGCAGTTATTTTCGCTTGATCATTTATAGATTGATACAAACTACCGGATGGTCCAAGAAATTTTTCTGGAAATCTTGCTTGCAGTCCGATGAAATAAAACTTATACAAGATAACTAGTGTTGTTTCATGCGCAGACACAGATCTCTTCAATTTGCCTTATTGTATTAGGGCCATAAACATCAGCTTCTAACCAACCGTCGTCTATTCCTAAATGTTCAATAAAAGACCGTATGGCTCGTAAATGTGCAAATATGGTATGAAGTTCACCTAAGCATATGATAAATTTATCTCTAAGATCAGTTCTGCAATGTACATGATTATAAGCTCTAGTGTATAAATCAAGGTCCAATGAAATCACTGTTTTAAAATCATCACCACCTAACCAGGTTGATATCATCTGTGATCGTTTTAGAGCTGTATAAACTGATGAAATATCTGATGCTGGCGCTGGTATCAAAGGAAACATAAACACATTTGTTGTGAAATCTCTCTCTGCCTCGGAATCAATGATTATGGAGGTATATGCATTCCACGGGTGTACAGTAAGGTAGTTATCATCAGTAGTCTGAAATGATTCAGATATAAAATGCTGATTTTCTAAGATTTTCTTTCACAAGAATCCATGGTAATTGTATAGAACATGGGTTTGTTAGAGGTTTATTAATAACTAATGATTAGTGGAACAACCTACAGATTTTTTAAACTGCTTTCCACATGGTTTGGGGCAATCAAGAATTTTGTTAAAATCATTTTCGATCAGCTTAAGACTAGACTTTAGGTGCCCTTTAATATCAAAACTCTCTGTTGGTAAATCCAAAGTACGACGTTGGAATCCAGCCATCATAAATACATGTGTTGTTCCCTTACCATCTTCTGTGTCTTCTTCAAAATCTACATAATCGATATGGAAATGTATAAATACATTCTTCTGCATTGATTCAGGTATATAAACTCCATTATTAGCTGCCATATTCTTCAGAACACCATTCGCCAGATATGTTTCCCATTGCAAGCATCTATCATTTGAGATACAAAGTTGCATTCTATTTAGAAGGTTGATCAATCGTTTACTTCTTCCTTACTGTCTCAAAGTCAGCCCTAGACGAACAACTTGGTCTTGTCGTAGGTCTGTTGAAGGTGTACTACGGATTCCGATGAGCTTTTGTACGTTGCTTGTCGATCTGTGAATACATTGAACATTGTAGAGTTACACTGTATGTGTATCTTTTGGTTTATCATGTGATCACGATGACATTCTGTGTGCATTTCTCGTTTACCTACCACAAGCCAACACTGAAATGTCTTAAGTTTGAGTGGAATATCACTTGAAAAATATTCAAATTAAATTTTTATCCTTTTTTTTCTTTTCCAAAATCTCTCTCCTTAAAATTCCATAAAATCGTCAAATCCTCGTCAGTGTCAAATTCCTTAATTTGTTTTATAGCCAATTCTGTTATTGCAGACGCATTGCCACTAAAGAAAACCCTACTCAGTTGATTTACCTGATTTGCTTGTTCAAAAAAAATTTCTGGTATTTCTTTAATAAGCTGCTCTTTAAGCCAGCCAATTTGAGATTTATCTGCTCTGTCATCTGTCAGATTTGTATCGAGAAGAAGAGATTGGTACAGTTTGTGGATATTTCTTATAGATAGAATATGATTTTTAATAATAGCACATTTTACAGCACTCACTACCTCTATTAACACAGATTTTCGATGAATATCGTCTGCTTTTTCAAATTTGTCATAAGATGGTTCTTTAGCACGATCTGCATAATTTACCGACAGTGTTTGTGATATTTAAAATCACCAGCCCTTGCATCAAAAGAGGAATGCAATCTTATTTTCAAATTTTCTTTGTCAGATTTATGGACAGCGTCCTCCAGTTTCTTATTTACATTCTCAGTTGACATCTGATGTAATGGCTTGGTATTTGATGGGTCTTGGCAAAAGGAACACATCGTACTATCAAATATGCCATCTCCTGAACGAGTCTTTCTCTTTTTTGGGAGTGGTGGCGAATCTTGGGAAGTGGGGCTAGTTTCATTTGAAATAGATAGAAATTTAGCTTTTGATTGCTTCAGGTGATCACTGTTTGTTAATGACTGATAGCAAACTCGATGGTATACAGCATTCTTGTCTATTAGATTCACTACAGATTCATTTTGCAATCTCTCATTTACTAAAATAAATTCGTTCTCACCATATTTGGCACAAAGATGAACTGTTTCTAGAATTTTTCTAGAAAGTTGATGAAGAAGGGGTCACTACTTTGTTCTTCTTACTGCCTTTCTTTGTGTTATTAACTTGACAAATCAAACAGCTACTATAGTTTGTCCTTGTCACACTGTGTTTCAATTGAGTAATGGGCAACAAACTCATTTTTACACACAAAAGTGTCCTATTAGTACCTTAAGAGCTCCATAAACAAACATGGCCGCCAATCTCCTGCATATGACGTCACTTTTTGAATGACGTAACTATTTACCTGTTACCTATTAAAAGGAATCATTTCACAAAAAAATTGGTAAGATGTTCCTGTTCATTAAGTGCTTGAATTCATTATCATAATGCTTCAAAAATTTTGGTTACACAAAAATAACAAAATAAAACAGTAACGTCATCACGCTTCCACCATCTTGAATTAGGAATTTTTTGTTGTGAAAACAACAAAATTTGAAAATATGAACTTTGTTCTTTAAAATGATACCAAACACATAAAATCAACATTAAATCGGCACGGGGCTCACTACATAACAGCCCCGACTAATAAGACCAATCCAATATCTTATTAAATCAAATTTTCTTTTTAAATACCCTAAGCTTACATATAGAGAACCATTATGGAAGGAACTTGTAAAGGGGGGAAACCACTGCAAGCCGAAATTTCTAGGTGGGAAATGAGTTTCTCTTCAATGTAAACTTAGAAAAGTAACTTTTACAAAAGAGCATATTTTTACCAGTAAAAACCAAATGCAGCAAGTCAACAACAATGGAAGCTTTCCTTTTTTAAATATCTGAACCACGTGTAATCAATAATCTATAAATCAATAACAAGATAAACATTTACATTTCTACTTTCTATTAGCACGACAGAATCTCAAGATCTAATATTACATCAACTCAAATTGAAAAATTGAAAACTAATGTAAACACTCTTCAAAAAAGAAATCACAAATGGTTTGAACAGGTGGCGCTTGGTTAACGCAGTATTGCCAGATTTGACAATGTGTAGTTGCCAGATTTTGGCAAGTTATCAATTTAATAACTATGAATTATTATTTTCAATAGTATATAAGCTAAACTGACTCTGATGGATAATTTGACAGTAAGTTGTCAGCTGACATCTGTCCAAATTATATAGCTATCAGAGGCTGTGTTAGAGACAGATATTTCGGTCTTACTAATGTTCGGCACAAAGTCGTTGACACAGCGAACATTGTTGGAGGTACTACTTCGGTGGCTCAACACCGCTACAAGTCAAGTAATTCCCACCCCTTCCTCTTTGAACCCCCCTTCCTGTGTGCGATGGCAGCGCCAAACTATCAAGACTGGGAATACAAATTGGAAAGGGGGGGGGGGGGGGGGGGGGTGGAAACGAAGGCGATTGACTTAATTGGGTGGAGACAACTGTGAAGGTTGAGATTAAAAATTCGCCATACACGATAAAGATGCCAGACACTGGCAGCTTTGATTTTGAATAAAAATATTTAGCAGTACAGTAATAATCACAAGTACACTTCTTTTGAACGCTTTAGGGCGATACTGAATAATATTGAGAATGAATTATTGCCCTTATTCTTGTTCAATTTTTAGCAAATGAAAACATTAGATGGCAAATATTCAATCTTCAGAGCGGGGCTGAATAATAAAACCAAGTTTTGTCGAAATCCAGCAAGAATCATGCCATTTAGTGTTTAAGAGCTAAATTTGAAAGCGTTTTCAAGAACAAGGGCAGTAACTCATATTAAATATTTTTCAATTCTTCTGATTTTTAATAGGGATCATCCTTGGGGAATTACGAACATTCACACCACGTTTCATCAAAATCCACCAAGAATTGTGCCTTCAAGAGTGATTACGAGCTGAAAATTAAACGCGTTTTCAAGAGCAAGGGCAATAATCATACTAAATAATTTTTCGATTTTTCCGATTTTCAATAGGGTTTAACCTTGGGTATCAACAATCACTCATGCCAAGTTTTGTCAAAATCCGTCAAGAATTGTCCTTTCTAGAGTGTTTACAAGCTAAAAGTTGAACGCGTTTTCAAGAACAAAGGCAATCTCATACTTAATAATTTCCGATTCTTCTGATTTTCAATAGGGTTCATCCTTGGGTGATTACAAAACTCACATCAAGTTTCTTCAAAATCCGCCAAGAATTGTGCCTACTAGAGTGTTTACGAGCTAAAAATTGAACGCGTTTTCAATAGCAAGGGCAAAAAGTCATAAGCTTACAAATTATACGTCGATTTTTCTGATTTTCAATAGGGTTTATCCTTGGGTGATAACAAACACTCATGCCAAGTTTCGTCAAAATCCGTCAAGAATTATCACTTCTAGAGTGATTACGCGTTTTCAAGAACAAGGGCAATAACTCATACTAAGTATTTTCGATTCTTCTGATTTTCAATAGGGTTCATTCTTGGTTGATTACGAACACTCACACTAAGTTTCGTCAAAATTGGACGATTATTCGATGACTGGTTTTTGAGTTATTGCCCCTGAATTTTCTTGCTAACACATAAGAGACTACAGTTTCTATCTGATTTAAATGAAATCTATTGACAGATTATGACGAAACTTGGTGTGAGTGTTCGTAATCACCCAAGGAATGCCCTTAATTGTTCTTGAAAACGCGTTCAATTATTTGGCCCATTAACACTCTAGCAGACACAATTCTTGATGAATTTTGACGAAACTTGGTGCGAGATGAACCCTATCGAAAATCAGAAGAATCGAAATATACTTAGTTTGGGTTATTGCGCTTGTTATTAAAAACGCTTTTAGTTTTAGCATGTGAAGCAGTGAGGGGACCAGGTTAACGTCCAAAAGTGGGTGAAATATCTGAGGTTGCCCGAATTTCTAACGTAGTTATGAGAATCATACCCGAAAAACCTACATTTGGCGCTGCAAAGTGGGGCGGCTGACCCAGCTCCGCCACTGTCTAGAAGTTCCAATTCTTCAATATTTCATACTGGTAATTGTTACTGTACTGCCAACTATTTTTATAGGCTAATACGCCCACCAGCAGCTTGATAAAGAGCTAAATGTGAACTGTAAAACAAACTCTATATTATCGTAGACTGTAGAGTGAGCACGAGCCAAAAAAGTGAAAAAAACGCGATATCAGAGGTTTATGCGATATCCCTCAAGAAAATCATCGGATTCTCACCTAATTCAATAGTGCACATCTTCATAATGATATTGACACACATACAAAAGATCAAAAGAATGTATGGAGAATTGTAGGCTGTAGAGTGAGCACGAGCCAAAAAAGTGAAAGAAAAAAAAACAAACAAACAAACGCGATAACAGAGTTTTATGCGATATCTCTGAAGAAAATCATCGGATCATCACCAAATTCAATAGTGCACATTTTCACAATGATATTGACACACATACAAAAGATCAAAAGAATATATGGAGAATCGTAGCCTGTGGAGTGAGCACGAGCCAAAAAAGTGAAGAAAAAGAACAAACAAACAAACGCGATATCAGAGTTTTATGCGATATCTTTCAAGAAAATCATCGGATCCTCACCAAATACAAAAGTGCACATCTTCATAATGATATTGACACACATACAAAAGATCAACAGAATCTATAGAGAATTGTAGCCTGTAGAGTGAGCACGAGTAAATGTTAACGGACAGGGGCAACCACAATATACGCCCATACTTACGTGTGGGCGTATAAAAACATTGTTAAGTATTTGGAAATTAATATTGTCTGTAATATTGAATATCATTGAAGAAATACTTTCAACTTGTTTTGTACAAGTTGTATTTTACTTGACCTGGATTAAAATGTTGAGATTCATTTGTATTTTTAGTTTACTTTCCTTTTCAACCAATTTAGCAATTTGCATTAGAAGTCTACGATTCTTGGTTATGGAACTGGCCAGTCTTGGTCGGAGAGAATCATTCACCATCTAGTATTATTGGCACTTAGCGCTAAGGTGTTTTTTGCTCAAAGCTGTGGCTAGCAAGCTGGCGATATGACTAGCCAGCCTCAGCCACTGAAATTTCTGATACTCTGCAGCTTCTGCGACACCAGCAATACCAATTAAGCAGAATCTATGCTATCGCAGTAGCCATTCCTGTCAGCTTCAACAACTGAACCAACGGCACCTTTTTTGCCTTGTACCAAGTAAAATCTCAAACACGATCCTAAGCAGCTATGACGGGTGTGCTTTCTCTTTAGACATCATATACCACTTTTCAAAATGAAAAACTTACTCGATTATGATTGATATACTTCCCCATGTGAAAAGTTCATTAGCTGTTTCATTGTTTGGATTTTGGTTTTCGTTTTGTAGTTCGGATTGCCGTACTATACTTGGTTTATTTCCCCTCAATGGTACATGGTCACTTGATTACGATAATCTAATTGACACATTCGGGCAAGGGTCTCGAGAATAATTCCGTTATATCGGCTTGGGCGCCGAAGAAAATGCTAGCAAATGTCCCATAAAATGAAAAACTTAAATGGACAGGTGTGCCATTTTAAGGGGTTGATTTTATGTATATAGTCGAAATTTTGAATAAAAATATTTAGCAGTACAGTAACAATCACCAGTATGATATTCAACCTTCAGTCATACACTTCTTTTGAACTCTGTAGTGCAACACTGAATAATATTGAGTATGAGTTATTGCCCTTGTTCTTGAAAACGTGTTCAATTTTTAGCTCGTGAAAACCCTAGAAGGCAAATATTCAATCTTCAGCTCGTGACTGAATAATAAAACTAAGTTTTGTCAAAATTCAGCAAGAATCATGCATTTTAGTGTTTAAGAGCTAAATTTGAAAGCACTTTCAAGAACAAGGTCAATAACTCAAACCAAATATTTTTCAATTCTTCTGATTTTCAATAGGGTTCATTCTTGGGTGATTACGAACATTCACACTGAGTTTCATCAAAATCCGTCAAGAATTGTGCCCTCTAGAGTGTTTACGAGCTAAAAATTGAACGTGTTTCCAAGAACAAGGGCAATAACTCATAAAAATATTTTTCGATTTTTTGGATTTTCAATAGGGTTTATCCTTGGTTGATAGCAAACACTCATGTCAAGTTTTGTCAAAATCCATGTGCCTTCTAGAGTGTTTACGAGCTAAAAATCGAACTTGTTTTCAAGAACAAGGGCAATAACTCATACTAAATATTTTTCAATTATTCTGATTTTCAATAGGGTTCATCCTTGGGTGATAACAAACACTAATGCCAAGTTTCGTTAAAATCCATCAAGAATTGTCCCTTCTAGAGTGTCTATGAGCTAAAAATTGAATGCTTTTTCTAGAACAAGGGCAATAACTTATACTAAATATTTTTCGATTCTTCTGATTTTCGATAGGGTTCATCCTTGGGTGATTACGAACACTTATACCATGTTTTGTCAAAATCCGTCAAGAATTGTGTCTTCATGTGGGCGTATAAAAATACTCTGTGAGTGTGATATACAGAAAAAACATACAGAAAAAGTAAGGAAAATTCCAAGTTCGAAGTCTAAAATCAATCCAAAATGGCGCATGTCTCTTTTAAGTATTTTCAGGGCTGAAACCATACACCAGTGAATTGCAAGTAATATCTTTGCTCTTTTGAGTTGTATTGCTATATATTAAAGTCTTCATGTGTTACAATTGCATGATGAATTAAATGGTTTAAACATTTATTTATTTAAACATAGAGTTCACTCACAGTTAACTTAAATTTTAAAATCCATTTCTGATTTATAACATACAAGTACTAAACAGAAATACAAAGATAGCTTGCCAGGCAAGGTAATATATGCCCACTGGCAGCTTTGATTTTGAACATAAATATTTAGCAGTACAGTAACAATCACCAGTATGAAATATTCAACCTTCAGTCATACACTTCTTTTGAACTCTTTAGTGCGATACTGAATAATATTGAGTATGAGTTATTGCCCTAGTTCTTGAAAACGTGTTCAATCTTTAGCTCGTTAAAACTCTAGAAGACAAATATTCAATCTTCAGTGCGGTAATGAATAATAAAACCAAGTTTTGTCAAAATTCGGCAAGAATCAGGCCTTTTAGAGTTTTTATGAGCTACAAATTGAACGGGTTTTCAAGATCAAGGGCAATAACTCATACTAAATATTTTTTCGATTTTTCTCACTTTCAATAGGCTTTATCCATGGGTGATAAACACTCAAGCCAAATTTCGTTAAAATCCGTCAAGAATTGTCCCTTCTAGAGTGTTTACAAGCTAAAATTTGAACACGTTTTCAAGAACAAGGGCAATAACTCATACTACATATTTTTCTGTTTTTCAATACGGTTTATAAATGGGTGATAACCAACACTCATGCCAAGTTTCGTCAAAATCCGTCAAGAATTGTGCCTTGTAGAATGTTTACGAACTAAAAATTGAACGCGTTTTCAAGAACAAGGGCAATAACTAATGCTAAATATTTCTCAATTTTTCTGATTTTCGATAGGGTTTATCCTTGGGCGATAACGAATACTCATACCAAGTTTCATCAAAATCTGTCATGAATTGCACCTTCTAGAGTGCTTACGAGCGTTTCAAGAACAAGGGCAATAACTCATAGTAAATATTTTTCGATTTGTCTGATTTTCAATAGGGTTCATCCTTGGGTGATTACAAACAACCATACCAAGTTTCGTCGAAATCAGTCAAGAATTGTGCCTTGTATAGTGTTTACGAGCAATTCTGGACGGATGGACAGACGGAAAGAGGTGACAGCAATATACGCCCCCCATTTCATGCGGGCGTATAAAAATTGTCTATTTCTGTTTGAAACAATATAATGCATGTCTGAACTGTCCACTACCCCTCAGTGAGTTTGGTTGCAGCATTCATACATCATCTCCAGTAGATTCTAGGACAGCTCCACTGTAAGCTAAATCCCAATAATGTTCAACACCCAATTTCTTAAACTGTTCTCTCGCAAATGTCTCAGTAGGACATGCTTTAAATTTAATGTCTGAAAAACTCCTTGTTTTCACTGTGCCCTCCCAAACCAAAAAGCATTTATTCAATTTATCAGCATCATCTTCTCCATCACTACCATCTTGATCCTTACTTCGTTTTTTATCATCCTGCCACTTGATACGATTTAACATAAGTCTTTTAAATTTTCGCTGTTGTTTAGGCCCACCTTCTATAACAACTACATTACAGTCTCTATATAACACAACAATTCCAGTCATAAACAACTGATTAGCATTTGCTTCTACCTTAAATTTAATGGCTGGATTTTTTAAATCTCTCACACGATAGACAGCTACATGAACTCCCAGAGATGTGTCTTCTTTGATTTTCTTTATTTTTTTCTCTCTTCTCTGCTCTGCTGTTAGTTTTCGAGCTGCATTTGCTTCTTCGTGGGCCTTTTCTCTCTTTGCCATCTGTGCTCTGACATGAGCCTCTATCTTGGTTGGGTCCTGAACAGCTTCCTGCCCTAATACTCTCATCAAATTGGCCATTCTTACTTTGGGTTCAGGTGGTGGCATTAATCCAAGTCTTATTTTCTCAGTGATTTCTTTTTGACTTTCTGTTCTATTTTGTCTCCGCAACTTTTCTCTTTCTTTTGTTGTGAGGTACACAGGAATTGCAATTTCATTTGTGGGTTCAGCTGGAGGTTTCATTTGAATTGGATGTTCTACCAGATTAGTCACACCTGTTAAAACTTGATCATCTTTTAAATCTAAATTATCATAATGTTCACAGTTAACAATAAAAGAGTCCCACCACTCTATATCAGGCACTTCTCCTTCTTTCATATCCTTTTTTGGAGCAATTGTTGCTAGTTTAGCAGCAGAAGCAATACCAGTCTTCTTAGCAGCTTGGGCAATCTCATTTTGAAGCTTTTCCAGTTGTGCCTTAGTCCTCAACCTATTGGCTAATTGCTCAAATCTTCCCTTCTCATTGAACTTAAATGAACGTTTTGGTCTAAAAGCACCTTTACCGCTTACTCTTGAATCAAAAAATTTACTTTCACTTATTTCCTCTGGTGGTTTATCTATCAAACCTTTAAACTGTTCTCTTCTTTTAGCCTGGATATTAGCTTTGAGTGTTGGGGTATGTAATGATAGTTGAACAGGCTGACCCGTCACTGCATCAATCGTTTGACCTTGATCATTTAAAATCAAGGTTGGTTTGGAATCAAGTGGGATACTTTGAGCAGCTGGTGTAACAGGTCCAAGACCCTGCATGCCTGATAATCTGGTTTGGATCTGTGCCTGTAAATCTGCTGCTCTCTTTGCCTTTGAAGCAACATCATTCATGAACACTTTGGTGGTATTGTCGGGCTGAATAGTAGCTAAAGATTTTGTAGGTATAGTAGCTTGGATTTGAGTTTTCCTTTCCTGAATCAACTTCTGAGCATTAGCCATCATTTCTTTAATCTTATCAGTTGTGAGCTGACCAGGGCTAGGGTTACCTGGAGCAGGCACATTAACTGGTGCCTCATCATCCTGCAAATATAAAACATACAATAACATCTAATACTGTATATCAAAGCATACCATTATATAAACTTTCTATCATTGTCACTTATGTCAGGGTATAAGGGCTACAATATGATATGTATCACTATATTAGTTAATAGATAAACTGTAGCAACTTATCTTCATGTTTCAATGAATTCAGCTACTACTGTGTATGACTACAGGTATTGTGGCATGTAGTATATGCGATGTATCTATTCAATGATATATCGTGCCAGAACTAGACTCTATATACATGCATAAGAAATCTTTTTTCAATGGCTTTTTATGGTCTTCAAAGATAGATTATTACATGTCTGTATAAGTTCAAATTTACAGCATAAAAAGGATCTTAGTATTGTGCACAATATATATCAAAAATATCATGTTATGATACAATGCACACAGACGCAGACCTTATTAGTGCCAAGTCAGTACTAAGAAACAGCACTGTTGCTGTTTCGCCCCCCTCCCCTTCCCGATAGAGCTATCATTCTGAAAAAATTGACCTGAGTAATCAAGACACATTACTAAGTCATATTGTCGCGTTTCGTGTCAATATCGCAATCGGAAGTGCTCTAGGTGCTATGCAACAATAGGGGCACAGTGACATAATAGTACTGGTGTCTGATCATTCTGAAAATTGCCATGAGTAATCAAGACACATTACTTAGTCATATTACTACATTTCTTGTTGATATCGCAATTGGAAGTGCTTGCAGCAAAAGGGGTACAGTGGCATGACTTTAACAACTGATTTAACATAGCATTTGGTGTCTGATCGGTCTGAAAGTTTCAATGAGTAATCAAGACACATTACTGCATTTCGTGTCAATATAACAATTGGAAGCTCTTAGGGTGCGATGCAGCAATAGGGGCATACTGGCATGATTGAAGTTAGCGTCAAATGGTTAAGAGCTATGACAATTTTGAGAGCATTACGAAAATGATTACAACCATCACTCGGCTGTGAAAAATTGACAATTTGGTTGACTAGATACTGAATGATTTGGCAAAGCAAGTAAACAAGCGTTATGTTCCCCTGTTATTTTTAGCCACAATCGGGGAAAAATTCAGTCAGTTCAACACTGTGAATATTCAGGGCACATTTATGTACCTCTCTGCCAAGTTTCAAATCAATAGCTCTACAGGAAGGGGAGGGGGGCGCTGTTAAGTGACTAAAACTTATAATATAAGCAGCCTACCTTGAACTTTCTGCGGCGTTTATTATCATTTTCATCATCTCTATCATCTTTACGTTTCTTACTTCTACCTCTGCTACCAATTCTAAAGTCTTCATAGAGTTCGTGGACAATATCAGTAAATTTTGTTGCTTGGTTGTTGTCAAGTATTGCTGTGAGCTTGTCGACTGTTTTTCTTCTATCATAACCACGGTCAATGCAATCGAATGCTGCTGTAACCAGCGTGGGTTCACTAAATCCTATGAACTTTTTGACGGATTTTTCTAACAAGTATCTAAAATCATCAGATTCTCTTCTTGACAAAGACATAATTATCAATATAACAAAAGTCAACAATGCAACAAAATTATGCACATAACAAGCGTACAAATAAAATAACTTAGTGACTTCCTGTCGTCAATAATTCGCATGGCTTCCGGAAGTAGATATCGTTGGTTATATATAATACGATTGGTTACAGAATTCAAGATCGTCCAATCAATATTTCTTACACAAAGAGCCGTGATGTCTATTCACACAATTGTTTTGTACAAATAACTACAATGAAAAATAAAGAGAGACTATCATTTTACTTCAAACACCAGCGAAGTCTATAGACATTAGTATATTGATAGCATGTCCATGACTAAGTTCAATGAAGCAAGCATTGAGATCAATTGATGCACTACTTATACAATATTTTAAAGGACAAACGGGGCCTTTTTTTAAAGAATGAAATGAGGTTAAGCTTCTTCTTCTTCTTTTTGGTGGATGGTGTCCGCTTCGGAAAAATTACATATTGCAGACGTTGAGTAGGGAACGGGTTGCTCCCATGGTTTCTTCTCGTTCTTCTTCTGTAGTCTTGATACTGCGTTCTTCTTCTGTGTTTCTTCTTGGCGATCTATCGAGAACTAAGTCCCTAATGATCGCCACACCTACAGAGGAGCGGAGCGCTCTTCTGACGTGCTACTGTATGTAATCATTCGTGACTCACTAAGAAAATAATAGACTGTCTCACAGATTGTTGACATACCCTCCCCCGTATTGGACAGAATATTCTTCAAGGTGTGATCCAGCCTATATCTTTTCATTATCTCGACCAGCGATTTCCTTAATTCCCTTAATAGCTCACAGTGGATTAACAGATGTTCTGCGGTGCCAGCTTCACCACAGGGACATAACAAAGGGTAGGCTAGGTCTTACGCTTACTTATATAATTATATAGTGAGCACAGTTATAAGTTATATACGTTCTTTGAAAATGTATACTTGTTTTGCAACTTTCAAAAATATAGTATGGTGGACTTTCAACAATTTTCCAGGAATACATGGTTCTTGGCACGTTTCACAAACATTCTGTGCATTATTGGAGTTGGACACGCTAAGACCCGTCTCTATTCCCGTTTCTGATATCTATTTGCTGGACAATGTCGGCATCTCCACCTATTTAGATACCTCGAAATTGGAAAACCCAGGTATTTTTGGAAAGATGAACACTTTCTACTTAACATAGAGTTATATAATAAGAACTTTTTTAAAACTCTGTGACACCATGCAGCCGGCTGGTCGGACATTTCGGACGAATTAAGATGATAATGGCTATGTTCACAACCGACCCGATAAAACAGTTTTCTATCATGGAGCTTGTGTTGTTGCTCATTGACATTAAGCCCTATATCAAACCAAACTTCATATTCCAAATGCCTATATTATCTCAGAACTAGGCAGTACAGTTGTATATTACCATCAGGTCCACCAACAGAGAGTTATTTCCCTCTGAATCTGATCTCAACAAAATGGTGGTCTTAAAACGGGCAAGTAGCCTACTACCACTGCTTGTTCCTTGTTAATACCCGGTAGTTGTTTTTCGTTTGTATGGATTCCTTTTGTTTTGTCGTTAGCCTTTATTTGAACATTTCAGGACATGTGCAGAGATTCACTTTCATTTACTCCATGTTTTCAGAGTCTGGGGTTGGATCCTCGTAATATGAATGAAGGCATGGCCTTGAAGTTGAATGAGAGCGCAGGTTATTGATAAAATAACAATAATTAATAATAATTGAATAAAAGATATTAAACCCGATCTGTATGTAATGCAAACTACTTTGTCTTCTAATCATATGTGTGAAGGTAATTTTCTATGAATATAAGATCAGTAGACAATCTTTTATAAGGTATCTAGAGAAATTTCTTTAAGGTGTGAAAGTAATCATCTATAACGATGACGTCATTATAATGTGACGTATGATGTCAACAAAGCCGCCATCATTGCTTGGGAGAAAGACTTGAGAAATTATGTCAAAGCTGTCATTTTATTCCTAATGACGCATAGAATATCCAGGAAAAATGAAAATAAAACGTAAGGGTTGTTAAGTTGGTAAAAAACATCCCTTTCTGTGTTTGATACAATTGTCGTAATTTAATGGGGCATAAATTTTCTGAAACGAATTGATGTATATGTATATATGTTACCATTATAGAGAGCTTCGCTCTCGACGGCTTGAGCTGCGCTCTCATAATATGAATGAATCTTCTAGGAATATATTAAGGTCTGTGGGGCATAAACTTTCTGAAACGAATTGATGTATGTGCATGTGTTGCCATTATCGAGAGCTTCGCTTGAATGAGAGCGCAGGTTATTGATAAAATAACAATAATTAATACAAGTCAAGTAACCTAATTTCGTGGAAACCTATTATTCGTGGATTTCCGGAAATGTTTAATAATTTACATGAGCGACCTTGCGCGACCCCCGCATTAGTTTGTTTTGATAAACATGGGTTTTTTGTACAATATCAGCTAGTAAAATGAATCCAGTAGTTTCAAGCAAGGTAAAATGTATTAATGTATACTTTAACAAATACAAAATGGTGGATTTCAGTTATTACCAAACGTCATCATTTTTTATCGGCCGAATTTCCTTATAATCCCAAGCGAATTCCAAGTGTCGTCTGCTAGAATGTAGTCCAACGAATGAAGTCACGTGATCAACTAGCGGATTCCATGTCAGCAGTAAATTCCTATGGAACACAAAGTGGATCATATTCTTATGTTGTTTCAGTGACATTTTTGACAATAAATTACGCTACGTATCTTATTTTGTCAGTCACTATTTTTTTTTAAAATCGTGGGTCTTTGAAGGAATTGTCACAGAGTTATAATGAATTGATATCAAAGATAAATACTAACAGAAGTTAATTATACCATCCGGTATCCATACAACGTGTTTTTCTAGACTTATTTATAGATCAAACATTGTACACGAAAATAGGTGACGCATTCTGTCGCCGTTGCCGAGTTGGTTGCTCATGAAACATGGGTCAAAGTGAAGGATTCATAAAGAAAATCGAAATAAACCAATTTTAATTATTTTGTAGAATATCTGAGGAAACATCTAAGACATCAAAAAAGAAAATTTTGTTTTTTTAATTTTGACGAAATTCTGTGTTGAATCCTTATATCCACGAAAATAGGTTACACCACTGTATATATATAAATAACGGAACGCAATTTTATGGTATACTACTCCTTAGTTTTACTACACACGACGTTTCAACAATTGATAGGGCCTAGCTACTAGCCTACATAACAGATAGCCTAATATTTTCATTATAACTTTACGTTGCCTTACGTTGTTACTAGTAAGTTATTAGGCCTATGTAGTATGAGGGTGCAGCTCTCGCGACGGCTTTGCCGTCGAGACGCGAAGCTCTCTATAATGGTAACACATACATATACATCAATTCGTTTCAGAAAATTTATGCCCCACGGGTAGTCAAAAAAAGTGAGAATAAAGATGAAAATAGGTTACACCACTGTAAATAAAAGAAATTCAACCTGTATGTAATGCAAACTATTTTGTCTTCTAATCATTATGTGTGAAGCCTTCACTGAAGGTAATCTTCTATGAATATGAGAGGTAGGAAGGTAGATGACAAGTTAACGTTCGCTTCCAGCGGATGCTGATATCGCAAACTAGGTAGTTGTTGGTAGTCGTAGTAGTTGGTAGTTGGATTTGAATATAAGATCTGTAGACAATCTTTTATAAGGTATCTAGAGAAATTTCTATAAGGCGTGAAAGTAATCATCTATAACGGTGACGTCATTATAACGTGACGTATGATGTCAACAAAGCCGCCATCATTGCTTGGGAGAAAGTCTTGGGAAATTATGTCAAAACTGTCATTTTATTCCTTATGACGCATAGAATATCCGGGAAAAATTAAAAATAAAACGTAAGGGTTGTTAAGTTGGTACAAAACATCCCTTTCTGTGTTTAAAACAATTGTCGTAATTTATTTAAAGAATTCCAGAATATTCACTCCGAAGCTACCCGGATTAACTGCGATCTAGTTGTCAACAAACATGGCGGCCCCCATGATCCGCCATCTTTATTCTCACTTTTTTTGACGACACGTGGGGCATAAATTTTCTGAAACGAATTGATGTATATGTATGTGGTACCATTATAGAGTGCTTCGCGTCTCGACGACAAAGCCGTCGCGAGGGCTGCGCTCTCATACTACATAGGCCTAATAACTTGCTAAGTAACAACGTAAGGCAACGTAAAGTTATAATGAAAATATTAGGCTATCTGTTATGTAGGCTAGTAGCTAGGCCCTATCAATTGTTGAAACGTCGTATGTAGTAAAACTAAGGAGTAGTATACCATAAAATTGTGTTCCGTTATTTATATATATACAGTGGTGTATTTCGATTTTCTTTATGAATCCTTCACTTTGACCCATATTTCATGAGCAACCAACTCGGCAACTGCGGCAGAATGCGTCACCTATTTTCGTGTACAATGTTTGATCTATAAATAATTCTAGAAAAACATGTTGTATGGATACCGGGTGGAATAATTAACTTCTCTTAGTATTTATCTTTAATATCAAATCATTATAACTATGACAATTCCTTTAAAGAACCACGATTTAAAAAAAAATAGTGACTGACAAAATAAGATACGTAGCGTGATTTATTGCTAAAAGTCACTTAAACAACATGACCCGCTTTGTGTTCCATAGAAATTTTCTGCTGACACGGAATCTGCTAGTTGATCACGTGACTTCATTCGTTAGACTACATTCTAGCAGACGACACTTGGAATTCCGATTACAGCTTGGGATTATAAGGAAATTCGATGACGTTTGGTAATAACTGAAATCCGCCATTTTGTATTTGTCAAAGTATACATAATACATTTTACCTCGCTTGAAACTACTGAATTCATTCTACTAGCTGACATTGTATAGAGATAACACGTTTATAAGAACAAACTAATGCTCGCGAAGGTCGCGCAATTATTAAACATTTCTGGAAATCCACGAATAATGGGTTTCCACGAAATTAGGTTACTTGACTTGTGTGTATATATATATTCGGAAAGGTGAATATTTTTGTAGTTCAGTAATACCACCATTTAGGTTTCGTCTGCGGTTCCATCTAAGTGTTTCTTTTTTGTGACGAAACTGTTCTCTCGGCTAACATTAAAAACTGCTTGCGCAGCCAAATCTTCAAGGGTCACAGTCCCGTTATATACTTACAACAGTAATGCTCAATATGGAAGGCGGAATGCCTTTTTCTTCAATGTTTTTCATTGTTATTTCTTAATTCTAAATTCTTATCTCTTAATTTGCATGCCTAATTTGTTATTGAAAATTAACATTTGTATAAAAAAATCATAATATGTACCAGAAATGAACATTCGGTTTAGTAATAAAATCTTTGCCAAATACAAATCTTCAGATGCAAAACGTCAAACACAAAACTCTACCAGCAAATGTTCAAATACTTAATGTTCAATAACAAATTTCGCCCAACACACCTTGCGAAACATTTCTCAAGGCCATCTATAGTCTATATCTTTTTTTTGGTTGGTTGTACAA